GGCACACTCCCATAGAGTCCGACAGCAAAAATCAATCCTAGTCCCCAACTTGAAGCAAGCCTAACTCCTTCATCTGGATGCCTTTTCAGGTCATTCTTGTGTGCAAATTGAAGCCCCGGAAGTAATAATTCCAATGGTGGCAGCCTTACATCAAAATTCTAACTGTGAAAAAAGTTATGCCTGTTTTGGTGAAACCGCACAGTTTTGGTCCTACCCGGATTCATGCCGAACTTCTCCCAAACTAGTTTTCTTCTCTCTTTTTCCATTTTCTTCAACTCCAAACCCCTAAAAAAGGTGTTTTGAAAGATTTTTCAAAGATTTCACCTCTCTCTCATTCATTTCCACTTTGTCCTTGCTCGGTTTACAGAAAAGCGCAACTTTTAACAAAATGCGAGCGTCGGAACATTGTAGAAACTTCTTTCAAAAGTATTTTGAAAGAGAGGGTTTTAAGGTCTAAAAACCATTCAAAATAGCTTTGGTCCAAAATGAGGTGTAAGGTTGGGGGATTTGGCTCTCTTCTTGCCAAAGAAATTGAACATTTGCCCTGCACATCTTTCACCACCCAGTAAACCATCAGTAGCGCCCAAGTCTTAAGGGCGGTCAAAAATGGGGTGTCTACAGCATGACGTGCAGCAATCCTTTTCCTAGGATCAAATTGTAGATGGATAGGACTTTTAGCACCCAGGACTCTACTTGTTTTGTGATCGAGCCTGCTCTGACCAGTAATTAGCCACTTCGGTTGCGAGTTGAAACCAACTAATGGCGAAGTCTCTGAAGCCAACAAGATACTGGATGGATGTAATCTACGCTCGAGCGCCAACACCTCCGCTCGAGCGTACAGGCCAAAAATCTGGGCAACTAGTTTTGGTTTCTAAACTCAACCAACCTGTAACCAACCCGCTCAACACATCCTATAACTCAAATACAACGTAAGAAAAGATGTAAACAAGATAATAAACAACTACCAACATCCACGGACACATGTCCGGATCACTATACAACAAGGGTAAATCCGGGATCGCTATAAACTAATGGCGAAGTCTCTGAAGCCAAGTCTTTGTCTTCTAATTTCATCTGCTTAAACATATCGTAGTATATGATTTCGACTGAACTACCTTGGTTGATTAAGATTTTCTTTATGTCGAAATCCTTGACATAAAAAGTACCGACAAATGCGTCATTGTGAGAAGTTTGAATTCTTTCCAAATCTTTGCTGGAAAAGGTCATAACATCTTTCTCTTTGACTCTCCCTTTTTTGACGACGAGCTAAACAAACAATACTTCTCTCATGTGTTCCGTCCTTTTGACCATCTCCTTAAGTTCGCATACTCGTACTGGCTCAATAATTTTGTGGATGACGTTAATAACTCCCTAGAGGGCAGCATCCAAGATAGTCAGCCCATTTGGCTTGGCTTTCCCTTGGGGCACCGCCCTTACTCCGCCATCAATATTCTAATCTAAGTACCCTTTGGCCACGAGTTCTTCTAAATGTTGTTTCAAAATCCTGCAATCCTCTATGTGGTGCCCTTGCTCATCATGGTATGTGCAACGATACCTTGGATTGAACCCCCTCTGAGTATTTCCTAGTTTTGTTGGCCACCGGATGTACGTTTCATCTCGAATTTCGCTGAGGATGCGATAAATAGAGGATTTTGAAGACCATGGCAATACCGGTCTACACCTTCAACTTTTTTTTTGGTGTCTTCTTCTTCAATACGTGGATTATTAGCCCGGTCATCATTACAACTCTTGTTGCGGCTATTGTAGGATGTACTGCGATATTGATATTTACCTCAGCTATTTAGACAATTGTCCTCCCGCCTGACCGAGTGGACCTTTCCAGCGATTTGTTTGTCCACTACTACTAGATTTGCCTTCTTAATTGCAACGATCGAATCATCTTCGACTCGAATGTGTTCATTATTCACTGCATCAATGACTCCATAGCGGTGGGTTGGTTCATTGTAAGTGAGTCCTTTAGTCTATGTCTAACTGGCAAGCCTCGCTTGTACTGGGTGATTGCAAGTTCGTGGGGTAGTCAAGGATCTCATTGTATGTCTCTCAATACTTGGTGTTGTACGCCTTCAATGAACTGCCAGATTCCATCTTCACTTCCAAGAGGTGATCCACTTCCTTTGGTGTCTTTGTGCTCGTCTTAAATCTTGTGACGAATGTCGTTGCCAATTGCTGCCACCCCTCGATGCTCTCATTCAACAGTCTTTCGAACCACTTTAGGCCTAATTCTCCCAAACTTGTGGGGAAGATAAGGCACATTAGGGCATCATTGTGCCTATGACCTGCCATTACTTACCGGTAATGACTAACGTGCATATATGGGTCCGTCTTGCCATCACATAGTGTGAAATTAGGCTGTGGAAGCGGGCAGGAAATGGCCTGTTCTCGATCTTAGGGAATAATGAGGTGGCGCAGAGCCTCGCCAAGTCTCGATCCATCGACACATGTACCACCGCTCGATGTGGCAGCATCACAACTTCTTCACTAACATGGATTTTGGGGGTTAGCCTCTTCAATGCCGGCATCCTTTGCATCTCTCTACGGCGGGCTTGTTCCTATAGGACATCCCTCAAATTCTCCGATCGAGCAAAGTAAGAGTATCTCGATGCCGTCGACGGACACGAGGGACGATAACTGCTGTCCCACGTGCATTACCTCTTCGCCAGCAAGATAAAGTCGCCTTCTCCATAGCTCCTGGTAATAAAGATGGAGGGCGTTTCTAGCTTGTTTTGACTACCAGAGCTCTAGGTTTAGGAGCGTTCACTATGGTTTCCCACCCCAGCAATGTCTTTTCCCTTAACTTGCCATTTCAGGACCTCCATCTCTGTTGCCATCTTCCGAACGATGGCGTCTTAGTCTCTAAGCTTGTGCTCCAAGTGTTGAGTGTGCGATCCTCTTCGTCGTCGATGCCCTTTAGGGCTCTGCGAACGTCCAGAACTCCTCGCGCGTTTGTCTCATATATCTCTGGGTAGCCCTCTAGTGGAGGTCTCCAGTCGAGCCATGTTTGGGATGGCAGGAAGGTCGTCTCGCCTCTGAACAGACTCTGGAGTGATGCCGTCAACGGTGGATAGTGGGTTCTCGTCGTTGTGCACCGTTGAAAGTGGTCAAAAGAGCTTTGAAAACAAAGTGTTAATGTCAGGATTCCCATAGATAGTGCCAATTGTACAGGGATGAAATATCTGTCGCCTTCTGTACGACTTGCTACCAGCTCGTCTCTTTGAACAGAACTCCAACTCATTGCAAACAGAACAAAGATGAGTTACCCACAGGTGGTTTTCCCAAAAATCCCTCTGACAGTCAAGTTAGCTTCCTTGGAGAAGAGAGAAAGTAGAGCACAAGAGAGAGAATTATAAGAGTTTGCATACCTCTTCCTGAATCTATGCACCCCTCTTATCTAGGCTAGCCATGCAGCCCTAGATTATGCGCGCACTATCTTTGTTGTCCTTTCCTGGACGTGTAGTTGTACTACCTTCTCATTTTCCTACACGTGTACATAGGGATGTAAATGGTTCGGTACGGTCGGTATTTAGGTAAAAAACTACACTGAACCGATAATGTCGGGTTTATTATTTTGAACACCGATACAAACCGCTTCTCCCATCAAACCGCACCGAACCGAACCAATTGAAACGGTTCGATTTGGTGTGGTTTAATCAGTTTAGAATTTTTCAAACTTGAGCTACTTTTAAATATAATCATTAATCTATATACAAATATTAAATTAGTTATTTATCTACAATTTCAAACATATCCAATCCATCCATTTAATACATACTTTTCAATTCCTAAATTAACAAAAATAAAAATAATTTTTTTTAAAAAAAAAATACCAAGGTTTCAAGAATAATGAGTTAAAGTTAAGATTATATATAATAAGAGTTTACAAACTTAGGTTATAAATATGATAAGGTTAACTAATTAAATTATATTATTATATTATATATATATATATATATATATATATATATATATATGTATTATAAATACAATATATGTTGAATCGGTCAGTTTCGGTTTGGATTTTTGTATAAAGTGTTTAAACCAATACGGAACCGAAAACCTAAAAAAATTAAATTTAAAAACCACACAGACCAATTTTTGTTAAAAAAAAAAGACCAAATATAGTTGGTTTGGTCCGATTCAATCGATTTAGTTGATTTTTTTGATTTTTCTTACATCCCTACGTGTATGCATTGATACTGCTAAATAGTATTGGCCAAATAACCAAACAATATTAGGGCATACTCAGAACGGATTTCTCTCTCTTATTAATGATCTTTTGTGAATTACTATCTATTTCTATGAGCTCCAGATCTAGCTCACAATTTGACAAAATTTGTAAACATTGTTGTTAATTAATAAGGTGTCGTTTGGTAACACTTACGTTTTCAGTTTTCTGTTTATATTTATAAAAATTAAGGAATTATTGCAGAGCAACATTACGTGTCGGTGCGAAGTCACCCCCCACACACATACATACATATATATATATATGTATATATGTATCATGGATACAACCAGCAAAACAATAAAAGTAAAATATCTATATAATGGCATTGATGATAATGGTGAATTTTGATAGGAGTGAATTAGAATTTTGAAGTGAAGAATAAGACGAAGACAAAATAATTAGAACTTGAAAAAAAATAAAGGGAGTTAAATATTAATGATATGTTAGGTGGTTTGGATGTATTATAAAAAAATATCATTAATATTAAAATATTATTTATTTTAAATTTTAATATGTATTATCCTTTCCTTATTAATTAATTTATAATAAAATATAATAAAAATTTTAATTTTAATTTTAATTAGGCATACTAAATTATTAAGGTAAATTACACTTTACCTTCTTAAAGTTTCACCAATTTCTTATTTTAGCCATTTAAGTTTAATTTTTTTCACTTTGACTTTTCATATTTACAATCTTTCTCACTTTGACCCTTTAAGTTTTATTTTTCTCACTTTGACCTTTCATGTTTACAATCTTTCCCACGTGTTCAATTTTTCCTTTTCCTGATTATTATTTAGAAATCAGATTGTGATATTTTGATAATAATTTTTGAGTTTTGGAATATGTTTCAATCAACTACCATTTGGTTCTTTCTCTGAAGATTTGGGGCTTTGAATTTGCCATATATACATTGATCGATCCTGTATAATATATGCACACACACACACATAAAAATGTTGAGAAGAAAACTTTCTTCATTGATAGCAACTTCGATTTTCAATACTTGTTCTTCAAAAATCCAATCGAAACTCTGCTCGATTGGCTCGCCAATTTCTCCATCACCATCGTTTGCTACACCAACTAATTTCAATGTCCAAGCTCAGAGTTTGAGGGCTTATAGCCTTCTGAGTTTGAATGATTTGAGAGACAATAAGGGGGCAAAGAAGCAGAAGACGAGGAAGGGTCGTGGGATTGGGTCTGGAAAGGGGAAGACAGCTGGGAGAGGTCACAAGGGGCAGAAGGCCAGAGGCACTATGAAGTTTGGCTTTGAAGGCGGCCAGACTCCGCTCCGCCGCCGGATGCCCAAAAGAGGGTTTAAGAACCCCTTTAGCCTCACATTTCAGGTATATATTGCTTCAATCATATGATTCCAGTTCTAACAGTTTTAATGATGTTAAAATTTTATTTTAATTAATAATTCAGCTAATTTTATAGTTCTATAGGATTTTTTTAGTTAATTATGATAAGGTTATTTGTAATTTTCTAAACCGGCAACCTATATTTTAAACAAATTTCAAGGGGTGTGTTCTTTCATGGTCATATGATTCGAGTCGGAAAATGCTAATCTGATATCTAAAATGATAATAAAATGCTTCTTGAATGCAATGTGGCAATTAAAAAGAACAAAAGATATAGTTATCTATCTATCTATCTATCCATCTATAAAGTGAACACCCTTATGCTGCCTTGAAGCGTTGGTTTTTTATGCTGTCACGTGTCCGCTTTTTTGTTTAAAATTTTAAAAAGAAAAAAAAATAGATAGATGAGAGGAGGGGACTTGAACTTGGACTTATAAGACTCTTACCACTTGACTAAAACATCATATATAATAAATATTTTATTTTATTTTTACTTATTCAAATTGCACATGCATCGTGTGCGCCAACTGCTAATATATATATATATATAAAGAAGTAAGAAAGATATATGTTTGAAAAAAATATTCAAATTTGTGGGGGGGAAAAAAATGTGCTACAAAGATGAATTGAAGATATATATCAGAATTCCATTATAGTTGGATTGACTTTGACTGTAAACATCGAGTATGGTTGTTGGGCATAACTCAGTCCTAACTGCTGAGTGATGTGGCCGCATGGCTTCAACATTTAAATCGTGCAAGAACTCCGAAGAACTAATTGAATTGAATTCTATTTCAAATTACACAGACAACAAATTATGTATGTTCTTTGTAATAAAGTAAAATGTCTCAATTTCTGAATTAACGAAGGGCTCATTCATGACCTTAAATTTCCAACAGCGAACTTCCTTGAATTGAGTTGACCTCCCAAGTCACAGTAGTTCTTCTGACTTTTGCCATGATTTGATATTCTCTAAACTTGCCTGGCATATGAATATTCTCAGTTCTATTACCCTATTCTTTATATCTAAGTTCAACAGAGCTCTCACCTCCTCTTTATCGAGGTCATCATGTACCTTAATTGCACCTTCTTTTCCAAATAAATTTTTCAGAAGCAATTCTCTATCCAGCTTTTTATCTCATTGTTATGGCATTTAGTTTTGGGTTGAAGACATGATCAACTATAGTTTCAAGTCAAATAGGCTCTCACCAGGATGTGCATCTCTCTAGGTGTTGTCAACATTTACAACTCTGTCAACTACAACTCAGCAAAGCCTTGTCTCAGCAATTTGTTGTTGCATAAGTGAATCTTTTTTCTGCACTATCAAAGAGCTTCATTGAACTGCATGCAACATGATGCAGAATTTTCAAATTTAATCACCAAATCTATGGTTGGAATGCTGCAAAAACAATACGTAATAGATCATGAATGATTTGGTACGTTAGGCATGGGCTTTTGGACTAGAGATGGTTTAAAGGGGCTGAATAGTGAGTTTAGTGAGGGTTTATAAACAAAGTATCAAACTAGCCAGCAAATCTGTAAATGCAGAGAAATCTTGATAATTACAGAATAAAGAAGAAAAAAAGAGGAAAATGTGTGGACACTCGCACCTAGGTTCTTAGGCATCACACCCAAGGAATGTTGTATCACACAACAATGACATTGGCTGAAATAGTTATTCATTCATTCGTTGCTTTCTACTAAAGCACCTGGAAAAGTGTTGACACTCACACCTTAGTTCTCAGTGGCAAAGAGAACCTGGGGTCCTAGCAAACTTGGTGCCCTAGTAATTCTTGGGGCCAAAGAAAAAGCCTATGCCATGGCTCTTTTGAACTTCTGAAGGCTATTATATTTTATCCAAACCAAATAAAGCAGCCCAAACACAACAGCCCATTCTGGCAGCCGAAATCACAAAATTACATAATTAATTTCCTAGGCAAATTCTAAGTTAGAATCTTGCTAAATAACCTTTGAGTTCAGTTTCCCGCGTGGTTTATATTATAATACTTTCCATGCATTAGACTTGCATAACAACCCTGTCAGTGTCAACTCATGTTAATTGTTGCCTTCCTCTTCTAACATTAACCTCTTTGTGCACAACGTCACTCTCATCAAGATGCAAGAGACATTGTCTCAAAAGACTTTAGTCTCCTAGCTATGGCATGATGGTCAAAATCATTATGGCAGCACCGTTGCAATGCTGCAGCTCTCTTATTTCATTATGCTTAAATCTGGACATTTCTGAAATTACTTGTTTCCAGTCCTCAGTTATAGGGGCTTTAACTGATGTAACAACCATCTTATTAACCTTATAATTTTCTCGCGTACTCCTTTTTGTTTGTAATACCAACCACATGATAGCTTTTCTCACTCAATTTGCTGACATGTTGGAGTTTTGGCATTAATGATTTGTCTTGTTTTGGTTAATTTATAGTACAAATTTCAAACAACCATTATGAAATGGAAAATTATATCTTTCATGGTCATGTATCCTTTCACCTAAGAAAATATGATCATATATCCTTGTGATGCAAAATACTGAAATGGTTTACCATACTTAGCTGTTTGATTTGAAACACTTGGTGTATATTTCCTACTTTCAACTCAATATTCAAGAAAATGTACTGTTTGGGGATTTTTTTGTTTCAAGGAGGTTTTGTATTGTCACTTTTCATTGAGTTAACATTTTGATAAATTAATTATATTTTGGCAGCCTGTGGGGTTGGGAAAGATTGCAAAACTAATAAATGCAGGGAAGATAGACTCATCAGAGTTGATCACAATGAAAACTCTTAAGGTAGGAATTTTGCTATCATATGATTTTTCTAATTGAACTCTTTACTTTGTATGCTATGGTTGATAGTGACATTATTACTATCACAATAGGATGCAGGAGCAATAGGGAAGCAGATAAGAGATGGTGTTAGATTGATGGGACGTGGTGCTGAACATATAGAATGGCCTATTCATCTGGAGGTAATCATTGTTCAAAACATTCTGCATGTGATTCTTTTATTTTTTATTTTTTGGTAATCATTGTTCAAAATATTATGAATTGATGCCTAAATAATTTTTTTGACTTCCTTTTTCTTTGTTTTCTTTGTGTGAAATTCTTGCTTGTCCTGATTCAGTATCTCTTTTTTCCCCCTGGTTGAGGTTTTATGGAATCACTTTCCACTGGATGTGAGAAACTTTTTGTCTGCTTTTTAATTGTCTTCTAAGTACTCTTATATAAATGGGGATAACAAGTTTCTGCTAAGCAAGCTGATGTGATAAGGATCTGCTGTGACTTCTTGCCCAAGTCTATGACTTGATGAGAGTATTTTAGTGCTTTTTTTTTTCATATTTTTTCTTACCACACAACACGTGTGTATATATATATATTGATAAGTATACTCATCCTACGAATTATTCAAATGATGATTTTAGAGTTTCTTAAGGAATATGAGTTATAATACCATTGGAAGCAGGGGCCTATCAAAACATGTCTACCATTGTGTGTGTTTGTGTGAGTGGAGAAAAAATTCAATGCAATGGTGATATTGTGTCATCACCAACATGCCGTATTATCATCCACTAATAGACCACAATGTGGGCATAGTGAACCCCACTATGCATATGCAGTAGTTATTAGATTGTGTTGGATGGTAGCCCCATTTAAATATTGGCGTTCAGTCATCCATGTGGTAGTTTATTATTGAATTATGATACCACACGTTGTTGGCAATGACATGGAATCATCATTACACCGAAGTTTTACTTGTGTGTGTGTGTGCGTGTGTGTGTGTGTGTGTGTATGGTGTGGAATCACCATTACACTTAAGTTTTGCTTGTGAGGGAGAGAGAGAGAGAGAGAGAGATCTTCTCGTTTCCTTGTTTCAGATAAACAGAAGTTGAACTTTTGAACATATCTGCCTTGTTTGGGAAAAAGTCATTTTAAAAAGTCAACTTATTCTCTCTATTTTTTTTTCACCTTAAGTCACTGAAAAAGCCAATTCCTAAACATACCCGGAGTTGAATTCTATTGCACATGCATATAATATGCTTCACCTAACTCGTGCAACAGAACTATGCTTATATAATTTAAAGTTTGTTAATAATAGTCTATTTGTTCCTTTCTCTCTTTTAAGAGAAAAAAATGAAAGTTGTTCAAAAAGTATAGAAAAGAAAAGAAAAGAAAATAGAAGTTACCATAACTTGTGATCCCGAACTTCTTGTGGACGTGGATGGGATGTTTCTCACAATCTTCTATCTAGTTTAGAGTTTGTAATCCCCACTTTTCCTCTTTCAACAGATGACTGATATAAAAGGTTGCAGGTTTCGAGGGTAACTGTTAGGGCAAAGGGAGCAGTTGAAGCTGCAGGTGGGTCCGTGAGGCGAGTTTACTATAACAACTTGGGCTTTAGGGCACTGCTGAAGCCTGAGTGGTTTGAGAAAAAGGGCAGGTTACTGCCAAGAGCAGCAAGGCCTCCACCCAAACAGAGAGACAAAGTTGATAGCATTGGTCGACTGCCCGCTCCGACTAAGCCAATTTCTTTTACAGCAGAAGAGAAAGAAGCAATGTCTGCTACATCTGTCTAATGAAGCCAATTTTTGTTGAGATTTCTTAGAAATTTGATGAATATCTATGTTATAAACAGATTTTGTTCTGATGTTACTTTTAAGTTGCAGCATGTTGTGATATGCCATGCTGTCAAATGTTCAGTGTTTTGGAAAAAGATGTGGCGGCAATAGAGGCCACTGCCATTCAGAGCTCCAAAACTCGAGGAAGTTCTCTGTTCTTATTGATGTACTGTGTTTTAGATTAGTTTGTTAAATCCTCTTTTCTTATTTTTTTTATTTTTTATGGTTTAGCTTTCTTTTTATTATTTAAAATCATTTGAGTTTGTATAGAATTTCTAATTAATGAGTCGTTACCCACTAAATAAGATTAAAGAGTTGGAGAATTGTGCCATAGATCATATCAATGACTCGCACTTCATTACCACACCAGTAAAGTGATCAAATATCTTCGGGATGTTCTTAATAGAAACGAGGCCTTAAAGGCTAATATTTTGATTTAATGCTATGACCAACTATATAAAAAATTTATAGATGTCACATATTAGTAATCTCCTACCATTTTTGCTTAGTCAAAAAAAAAAAGTGAAAAAGAAAAAAAAAACTGAAATAAATTGCAGGGATAATAATGCTTCATTCAGAAGTTAGATGCTGAGAGGAAATAAATTGTGCGAGGACAATTTCCCAATTTGAGAAAGAATTTTTCGGTAGCTTATCGAGTTTGAATAATGCTATGTGTATCAATTAGTGTACTAATTAATATATCAATTGATGATGTGACATAATTTAATATGTTTTTAGTATTTGTAATTTGTATAATGAGTTAGGTCAATAATAATGTCATAATTAGTATTGGTATATTAGTCAGTATACTAATTAGTACATATAACACCACCGATCTAGTTTTGGCCAACTAGATCACCCAAAATGAATAGCTTGCCAGTTTGAGTCTTCCTTTTCTCGTGTGTCCGACTTACCGGACTCATTTAAACCACTCTACCCAGTTCCTCCCATATAGATAGAGACTCCTATGGTCATGTCAATAAAGAATTCTTGCACATTGATCGCCCTTTATATTTGTATCAAAAAAATAAATTAATTAATTAAAAAGGGTTGTCGCTAACTAGTGTAATTGCAAACAATTGACGGACTCTTTGTAATTGAAACTTCTCAGTGGCCTTACAAGTGAAATCTGTAGCCAGTTGATTTCTCCATTCTTTTTTTCCTTTCTATTTGGCAATAGATTTGTTCAATCTCAAGGGCTTAGGCCCAGTGGGTTTTTCCTTGTACGAGTCCACTCCGGACTCCTAGTGATGAGCAGTGGATATAAATTATATTTGTTTGGTTTATGAGACTCCGAATTGATAGTTCCTTCGAACTATAAAAGGCATTGGATAAGAATATTAGCAGTCCTTCAATCATCCTACCTACCAAAATAATAAGGGAGTGTAACAAGAGTTTGATATGCAAATGCCATGAAAATCATCTTTAATTATGTGACACGATTGAGAATGAAAAATTGAAGCAGATGCTTAAATTTGGGAGACAGAAATTGTTTTAAAATGTGGGGGGATTTTTTTTTTATATTGTGTATTATATATTTGTTTATGGGAATTGTTTTTTCCACTCCACTTTGCTCCAAATAAACTCTCTTCTTTATTCTTATTATACATTATAAAAGACACGTGATGAGGGGTTTTTTAAATGAATTTTGATGTGGAAAATATTGACATGACTTCAAAATGAGAGAATACTAAAATGATGTTTTTCATTTATATATTAATACAAATAGGGTAATGCTAACAAGTGTTCGGCACTGATTAAAATATATTTAATGTTGTATTGATTTATTTTGATTTTAATAAATTTATATTTTAAACATGTTTATTAAATTATATGTATTTATTATTTAAATATTTCAATAAATTTTTTATTTACATGCATTGCAATACTTAATTAAGGGCTACAAAAGAAAAGGACAAAAAAAAAAAGATTAAAGAGTATGAAATACTTTTCTATTTTTTATTTTTTTTTTTAAAATCTGCTTTAAATATTTTACATTTTTTATGCATAAAAATAATCATTATTTATAATTTATATTTAATAATTTCAAGACTAATTAAATAAAATAAAATATCATTAATTACTCTTAACAAGTGTCTTAACATGACACATTAAAAACAAACAAATTAAAAAGGCATGTAAGCATACAAAATAGGAGCACGCAAATTTTCTACCACTATTTTGAAGCAAAAATTAAATAATAAAAAATCTACAAAGACGTTAAGAGAAATTATAAAATATTTACATAAATTTTACAAATTATAAAATGATCAATCAATAATTAATATTTAAAGACAAATGCTAACAAATGATCTGCCCTAGGGCATTTGTTAAGATTCATTAAATGATAATTTTAGTGAATCCCATTAACCAAGTTTTAGGCAATAACATTGTAAAACATGTCAACAAAATTTCAAATGACAATAATAACCTAACATTTACTTTCCATCAAGCTTAAGAACATCCGCAATGGAATAGTTAAAATTATTTATTAAAATATATTATATGACAAAAGTATTAAAAGTGGGACACATTTTTGTGTGTTAAAGGGTTTGTTAATTTGGAGACTGAGAGGTGGTGCAATGTTAAAGAGTATGTTAAGTGATGTATAAATATATTATATAAGAAATTAATTATAAAAAAAAAAAAAGTAGTCCAAGCTTTTTCTCTATGTCACCCCCGGATATTTTAATACAATTTACCAAAATATGATTCTCAAAAACAATAAAATATTTGTTAAGATTTCCATGTGATATACTCTTCCTCATTGAATTATTTTCCAAACAAATACATAATCGTTCCCAAAAGTGAGCATTTGAGTATACACTACAGTTCAAAAAAGTGATGTGCCCTAATGACTTACATGTTTCAAGACATGGATCTTGATTACACAAAAATAGATTTCAATCCAAAAATAAAAAATAAAAAACATTCCAAGCTTGGTAGCTTTAGCACAACCAACATCCAACAAGCATTCCATGCTCCATCAAATGTAATCATCACCATCCATCAATCAGGTGGCAATACATTACTTGTTCCTGAAAAGTTAATGATTAGGATGACCAAAGTTGCCCAATAAAAACACATTTAACAAAATATATGCTTGAAATGAATATGATCATGCTATGTACATGCTTAGAAAAAATCCTTGTTTTTCATTCTTTCAAGTAACAAGATGCAATGAATTCCCAAGTAATATTAAGAATTAGCGTGTCCAATTACTCCAGCATCATTAAGTTACTCTCATATTTGTCGACTCACAATATGGTAGGGTGATGGGCACCCAAATCAAGCACAACCTTTTCACATTTGTCGGCTCATAATACGACACAGCCAGTGGACACCCAAAAACATATGTTTTTCCACGTTCACCAACTTGATATGGTAGGGCTAGTGGACACCCAAAAACATTTTCAACATTCGTCCGATGATAAGCTCAAGACAGGACAATTGGGCAACTAGACTGCCCGCGTGGGTACCAATACAATGTTGAACTCATTAACACCATCCAACTTTATTATCAAGACTCATACACCATTTATCTCATTTTTACATTTTCAACAACCAAGTGCACTACATAGGGATAACCATGGATACTATGTCATGCATGAATTTGCAAATGTTTCAAGTCACTTAAGGTTCAATTCAATCATAAGTGACATCCAAGCCTTTAGTACGAAATTCATGAAGTGGGAATCTCAAACATCAACGTCAACCCTTCTTACAAACTTCAACAAGAATAACCACATCTCAAGGTTTGTAGTAATCACGTATTACTCACATAACAATATCAAATCAATCTTAATTTCATAGGAGAAAATCAATCTATTCCAAAATCCCCCATTAATTAACATTTAAATTCTAAGGTTTCCAAGAAATTGGGGCCTTTCTCATTTCTTTGATAAATCATCAAATCTTCATGTATCATCTTCTAATAGGTCAAAATATTCAAAAACATTTCAAAAACTTGGAAGGAATCACCCTTTTTACATCAACATTTCATTGAAAATCCAGTGGTTCATCTCATACATCAATATAGCTAGGAGAATACCGCGTACACATCTCAAATCATAGATATATTAGGTTAAAGGTATCCCTACCTTGAAAATAAGAGCTAGAGATAAAACCTAAGTAGAAAACTTTGAAGATGATGCGATTCAATCAGTAGGAATATTGATCTTTACTTCCCCTTTACTAACACGAGATCGAGGATGGTCTCTTGATTAAAATGGGTGAGATCAAGAGTTTAAAGCTAGGGTTTTTTGGACAAGAGAAGAGAGACAGAAGAGAAAACAAAAAGAAAATGTGAGAAAGAATGAAGCAAAAAGTGATTTTTAACGTGTTGACCCCGAATAGACCACTCGAGCTATTAATCTAGCGCTCGAGCGGTGTGAGAGCAAAGACTGCTCAAGCGGTTACTTCAACGCTCAAGTGAACAATTCATTCTCTCAGAATATCAGACCTGTAAAAAGAGATACTGGTTGACTCTTTTCACCGCTCGAGCGATAACTCCACTGCTCGAGCGGTCCCTCCTTTCCAGAATGTTACAACCTTCCCCCCTTACAGAATTTCTTTCTCAAAATTTCGCTACACCTTCACAACAACACCACTACGACAACAACAACAACATCACAATAACAACAACAACGACGTAATCATGGAGTTAAAACAAAATATTAACAACTCAATTTGAGGAAAACATCAAAGCTGAAATGTCAATGAAAATATTACTATTTGTTCACATATTCACATCTACATTCGAGATACAATAAGGAAGAATAAACGAAACAGTGAATTATACATCATTAAATAAATCAGGATACTTCTCGCGGACCTCGGCCTCACGTTTCCAAGTTGCTTCTTCTATCCCATGATGATGCCACAACACTTTAACTAAAGAATTGTTTTACCCCTCAAAATTTGCTTTCGAGATTCTAAGATTTTCACCAATATCTCTTCATAAGAGGCATTCTCATCTACCTCAAGGTTTGTCCAATCTAAGACATGAGAAGGATCGAGCTCGTATTTGTGAAGCTTAGAAACATGAAATACGTCATGTATCCTAGAAAATTATGGTGGCAAGGTGAGACGATAAGCTACCTCTCCCACTCATTCAATAATGCCGAAATGACTAATGAATCTAGGCGATAGCTTCTCACTCCGATCAAATCTCATCAAACCCTTTCTAGCTAATATCTTCAAAAAGATGTGATCATTAACCTCAAAGGAC